GATCTCAAATGGAAAAGGTTGTCAACTACAAAGTTGTAGGTCTCATCACGGTCTACAACTTTTGTTTTGATCATTTCTCCATCCGAGTTCATTTGAACAGTTCAAAAATATTTGAATTGTAAAATATTTGAATTGTAGGATTAGGTATTTTAATTAATGACGATTACATTCGATCACTTTCGTCATGAGCTATTGTCACAAAGATTGGGAAGTGCACATGGTGATGGTTGTTTATGACCAAAGCATAACTTTGTCACAAACGCTTGTCATCCATTGAAAAATTGTCATAAACGCATCGTTTCTATGACTAAAAAGTGCTTTGTCGTATCAAAATTGTCATAGAAGGCCCAATCTCTTGTAGTAGAAGGGGGAAGGCAAATGGCAGGGATAAGAGGGTCGGGATCAGAAGAAGCCCTAGTCGCCCAGCCTACCACGTCCCAGCCCCTGCGGGGCCAGCCCTGCGTCAACCACGCCGCGTATGACCTCCAGCAACCTCCGCACCGAACTGCCGCCATCTACACGCCTGCTCCCTGGCCCTCCATGGATCTGAGCCAGACCACAGCACAACTGAGCGAGGAACCTGATTCCAACTGAAGGGCAGACCACAGCCTGCGCGCCTTGTGCAAGCAGCCCTCAGCCACCTCCGGTGCCGTTCCTGTTGTCCAGGGCCGGAGCCGCCGCCGCCGCCGCCGCCATGGGCTCAACCATGCCCACCTAGATGCAGCCGAAGAGGCCGACCACCACTGGCCCCGCCAGATCCAGTCGTAGGACAACCAGATCCAACGAAGGAGCACTTGATCCGCCCCTCATGGCCGCCGGACTGAGCACTGCTGGCTGCCGCCCTCGTGCAGGTCACACCACGGGCTCGGGAGACACCACTGGGAGAGAAGGGGTGAGGGGTGCTCCCTACCGCCACCATCCTTGCTCTCGCCCGGAAGACCGGCGACACGCTCCGGCGGCGGCAAGGATGGGGGTGCTCAAGGAGGGCTCAACGGTGGGGGTGTCGGGGCCGCCCAAGTCGCTCCGAAGGAGAGTGACGCCGGGGCAGAGTTACCATATCGACACAAAATTAAAATGCATGTTTGCTCAACGGTACAGCAAACAAAATTAAAATGCATATTGTGAATGTGAAGGTTGGAATGCTTTGTATATCTTAATCTAAAAATGTTTGCTCAACGGTACAGAAAATTAATTATTACTACTACTGCTTTGAATATCCTAGTACTCATTGGTCCTCTGCGTCCATGCATGCACAATTCCATCTGAACGCTGGAAGGGAAGAAAACGTGTTGCATGGGGAGCCGTATCACCCCTTCCGATCGATCCCTGCATGTATGCGGCCTTGTTCTCTTTGCAAAAAATTTTAACCCGATGAATAGTACCACTTTCGTCTTATTTGGCAAATATTATCCAATCGGGGACCAACTAGGCTCAAAAGATTCATCTCGTGATTTCCAACTAAACTGTGTAATTAGTTATTTTTTTTACCTACATTTAATACTCCATGCAAGCGGCTAAAAATTGATGTGATGAAGAGAGAGTGAAAAAACTTAGAATTTGGATGACATCTAAACAAGGCCTTGGTCAATTTCATTCGCGTCCATCTTCTCGATCTGAACAACGCTAATAATCGCTCTAGCTAGTTTCTTCCCAATCACGGTACCTGTCTCTTCTCGTTCACACAAACCTGTCCGCCGTTCAAATTTTGCAACCATAAGACTTCACCGGTCACATAAAAAGTGTCATTCTGATTATCGAGAAGTTAAACATTTCTCAATATATATTAAAAAATATTAATATTTATGGTACACAATTAGTATTCATAATAAATTATTATTTGAAGATGCAAATGTTATTAATATTTTCTATAGTCCTAGTCAAACTTAAGAGAATTTGATCGGCACGAATTCAATAACAATGACACTTTCTATGACGGAAGGAGTATTCTCCAACATTTGTTAGCCCTGTTTCTGAACTATATGAAATTCACAGAAATATTACTTCGTAAGGGATTGTTATTGCATATCCATAGAAGACATTATCGTGTTGTTTGGTTCCTTCCACGGTAACGCAAATGTAAATGTAATTAGTTCAAATCTATCTCCAAATGGTAACGTCCGTAGCTTTGCTTTTACGTTTGCGTTACCACAGATACAACCAAACAGCTCGTATATAGTTTCTTAAACAGTAGCTCGAAACAATGCAACCCTTCAAATGATTATTGTGGTTAATGGTGGATCATCAAAGGTCTCAGCTAATTACCAATGGAACGGTCAAAATCGTGTTCTCATAATTAACAGAATAAAATTTTAAAACAAAAGTGTGCAACCCGCGTGTCGGCGTGTGTGTACTGTTTACGTACCAACCACGTGTGGCCTCACATGCATGTTTTCCAGCCGCCATTGTAGGAGCAGCATTCAAGCATGCATCTTCTATCTATTCTCTACGGAGACCGTGTAGCTAGTCAAGTCTCTTATCTTAAAGACTGAGGTAATTGGTGGCTCGCCAGAGAAGAGGATAGAATTATTGAAGGAAGAAGTGTGCCGTACATCTGATCTAGCATACGTGCATATTAAAATGAATGTACAAAAAAAAAGTCAAAGCGACTTATAATTTAGAACGGAGGATACTTAACTCCATCTTTAAAGAAAAAAGTTTTTTTTAGCTAGTCTTTATAAAGGATAAAGTTTTTGTCTCGCCATCATCTCACAAGACGCGATGTAGTTTATTCTGAGAAACCCGTGGAAAAAGTGGACAGGAAGCATGTGTTTGGGCACTGAAGTGCTTTTCTTATGAAAAACATTTGTTTGGCGCATGTTAATACTCCCTCTAGTTAAATAATTATTGTCATTTTCAGTGATGATATAGTCTCCGAAACATAGCTTGGACTATGATTTTATTATATAAAAACCAATAAATACATAATTTTATTAACTACCTTTTCAAACTAATTTGCACATGTCTTCACTCTAAAGAAATAATTTAAGAATCATTGATAGTCAAGTTCTAAGACCTTGGCCTTGTCCAAACGACAAGCATTATGTAACTCGAGGAGCAATTTTTACAAGGGAGGAGCAAGAACAAGACATGTATACAAACTGAGTATAGATCAGTTGAATTAGGTCACATTTCTTGTAGTACTAGGGTATAGGTCCTTGATACCTGGCATGCGTGTTCATATTTTCTAAATTTATTCTAAGATGTTGGGGCCGTTCGGTTGCTCACAATTTCTCCAAGCGAACAGGGCCATAGGTCCCGTTCCATTCGCTGAAAAAACAAACCAAAACACTGTTCCGGTTGAATTGTTGTGAGAGAAAAACACTGTTCCAGTTGAAAAAACAAGCTGAAAAATACATATTATAAGAGAAGTGAACAGGGCCATAATGACACCATTTTTTATAGGTTGGTGACATGTATGTCGAAAACGAGATATTTATGGTGACTTTGCCGATCTTGGCTTTCTCATAGATGCAAGAGAAACAAAGGGAGTGTTCGGCTGACTGGTTGAATAAGCAAAAATACTGTTTCGGCTGGGTTGTTGCGAGAGAAAAATACTGTTCTGGCTGAATGACACTGTTCATGTGAACAGTGCCCGCGTGAGTGGGCTGGCCAGCACCAGCCAGCCAGCCGAACACGCCCAAAGGCAGTGTTGACATGAAAACAACCATTTTTCTGTAAAGTTAAAATTTGACACATAACGGTATTATTTCTTAATAGAGGATTCGTCCATATGTCATTGCCACGGTTTACTTGTATTGAGACAACTAAGGCCCCGTTCGCGTGCCCTTAAATTCGGCTTGATCCGCTTATTTTTTCATCCGGAATAGTGTTTTCCTCTTACAAATTCCTCCAGATTTCCTCCAGATTCCTCCAAGTAAACGGGGCCTAAAACGATGATGACATGCTGTAAAGGTTCTTTATTACATTATCTCAATATATCTACTTACTCCACCTGGTTCCATAATTCTTGTCATTTTAGACATTGACTAGCTTCAAAATAAAGCTTTGACTATGTTTTGCTACTATAGCATATACAAAAATTAACAATATATAATTTTACTAAAATATTTGTAAAGTAATCTATACATGTTGCCTTTGTGTCTTCAAACTAATATCTTCAGAAGTCATCGATAGTCAAAGTTCCAAAGTTTGATTTAATGTGAATGCACTTATTTGTCCATCCATAACACGTGGATGTGTTGCAAAAGCTGTAGTCTTTAGGAGTACATGATATCGGTTCTTCAGTTCAATCTTTGATATGGCACGTTCCTATCTGTCTTTTCTGTGCTCTTTAGTCTAACTCTCGGTTCTTCGGTTCAGCCCGCGAGGATGTGTGCTTAATTCCTCACAAGATCATGTGTGCTATGTTGGCTAGCCTGTATATTCTCTCTTTTTTCTTCATTCCTTTCGAAACTTCATCTTTGTAAAGGTTCTCGACGGTACTATACCTATCTGGCTATATCGAGAAAAGAAGAAGAAGAAGAAAAGATCTCCTCCAATAAAGATATACCCCGTCTGTCCCCCCAAAAAAATTATAAATCTCGTTTCACGGAAAGTCGATAAATCTTAAGTTTGACTAAATTTAAAGAAGATATTATCAATATTTAGATCTTAAAATAGATTTATTATGAAAATACATCTCATCATTAATTTCATGATACTTATTATGTATCGTAAACATCGATAATTTTTTATATATTTGGTCAAAATTAAGAATCTTTGACTTATCGAGAAGCGAGATTTACATTCTTTTTGAGCTAGAGGGAGTACTATATAAAAAAAAACATTAAATTTCTGTACATGCATTTCTTGGTGATGGATCGATTGACTACCATTATTTGCTGGCAGCATAATCTTGAGTTCTTGACTGACGAACAAGAGTAAATGAGCTAGTTAGTACATGAGTTAACCATGTCGGTCTGCAAGAATCGCAATGCCGACAGAAAGTCGTTGTCTTGCACCATCCTCCATGCATCGCATGCCATTACTGGCGGCAACGACTAGAGGTACCTGGAGAGCAGGTATGCGCTGACGCAGGGCGACCGGCTCCAGACGCCGGAGTGCAGCCTGAGCACGGCACGGGCGGCCTCCTTGACGGTGGCGTCGCAGTCGGCCTGCAGCACGCAGCAGAGCTTCCCGACGGCGCCGACGCGCGCCATCTCCCGCAGCACCTCGGGGGAGGCCGCCCGGCCGCCCACGGCCGCGAGCACGCGCACGGCGCAGGCGTCGGCGGCCGCGGACACGCGCAGCAGCCGCCGCGCCACCACGGCGACGCCCGCCGGGTGCGCCGCCACGGCCGCGCGCCCGTCCGCGCACGCGCACAGCTCCGCCAGCAGCGCCATGGCCAGCTCCGTCACCCTCCTGCCGCAGCCGCCCGCGCTCGCGGGCGCGGGCGCGGGCGAGGACGAGGACGGCGGCGCGTCGAGCTCCAGCTCGATGGCCTCGTGCGCGGCGCCGGCGTCCACGACGAGCGCGCGGTTCCGACCCAGCGGGCACGCGTGCAGGAGCACCCGCAGCGCGGACCGCGTCGCGCCGGGGGACACCCTGTCGCGCACCACCGCCGTGACGGCGCGGAAGAGCGCCGGACGCAGCCGCTCCAGCACCGCGGAGCCGGCCGCCTTCGTCACGGAGTCCAGCAGCCGGACCGCGCTCGCCCTCGCCGTGTCGGTGTCGCCGCCGGTGCCGGTGCCGACGGCGGGCTCGAGGGCCACCAGCACGTCCGTCAGCGCGTCGAGGAGGTCGTGCACGTGGGTATCGGCGACGACCAGCGGCCGGAGCTCGTCGCCAGAGACGGCGAGCGCGCGGACGAGATCAAGTCCGGCCTCAATGGCGTGCGTGGTCTCTAAGCTGCTCCTCCTGTAGTGTCCGGGATCGGCGCTCTTGATGACCGCGCTGGCGCTCGACACGATGACGCGGAGCACGCGCTGTAGCACACCGGCGTCCACCATGTGCCGCCGCGCTGCGTCGCTCTCGGCCGCAACCTCCGCGGCCTCGCGGAGCACGTCGACGGGCGGGGAAGCAGCAGCGGTGCACAGCAGCTTCTTGACGGCGGCGGCGGCAGCGGCGGCCGCTGCTGCTGCTCTACTGCGTCGTCGTCGGCCAGCAGCTTAGCCTCACCCGCCTCCTCAGGCGGCGTGGAGGTGGAGGAAGGCGAGCGCCAGGACTGGATGAGCCTCCGGAGCGTGTGGTTCGGGGTGAGGTCGGCGAGGGCGAGCGGCTGGCCGGTGACTGGGCAGGTGGCGTGGCCGGCGGCGAGCCAGCGCTCGATGGCGCGGCGGTCGTAGGTGATGCCGGTGGGCGCCGTGACGGGGTCCTGCATGGGCTGCAGCGAGATGGGGCACATCAGGTGGTGACGCATGCCGCTCAAGTCCTCCATTATTTGTCTACTGGTGGTTTAATGTCATATGGGGATGGGGGGTTGCTGGTTGTTCTCTGCATATATAGGTGGGAGGGTGCATTAGTGATGCTGATGCGTATCAGGTTTTGGTTTTGCCCGTTATGAAACAAGAACAGGGCTAAACCTGCCGCAACATTTTCAGTCAAACGATTTTGAATTACTGAACTGTGCATGGGAAAATAATACCGATAACCTGCCGAAATAATTTTGGTCAAGCGTGTTTCGTGATAAACTGAAAACGATTTTCCGTCGACTTCACATTGGAAAACTTAAAACAAATTTAACAGGCTGAACAAAAGTATCTGTTCAAATTCCTTTCAGAAGAGATTTGTCCAAAGAGTTTCTTGGACTGGCACACACCGGATCCTAGTACATTTTAGTACATTTTTCGATTTCACAAGGATTATAGAAATCGGCCAATCCAAACGGCTGATTCTGATGTAGATTATAGTATCCACCGTCGAGATTCTTATAGTATCTCTCTGCGTGCTACTAATTTGAGATTATTGACACGACCAACCACCGAGATCTACAGCTGTTTATAATCTTCTAGCAAATGTCCCCATGAGTTGGAACGTAACATACAACTTGTTTGCGGAGATTTATTTAGTGACCGTGACATCTATTTCAATATGTCTTGGAATCAAACTTCGTATCATTGTTGAATGTGTTTTTAACTTGTATAAGCAAGAGTCATAAGTCTGGGTAACATACGAGATAGTGACTTTTCGTTGCATCGCTAATGCATCTTGAAGTCGGACTCATACCATCGTTGGACGTACTCATATGACGGTATGAGCATGGGGCGTAAGTTGGTATCACATAGGGACAGTGAGTTTATGTCCCATCGCTAGACGCGTCTTAGAATTGATGGGACGACGACGCGAACTGGCTGGCTGGCTGCTCTAATGAATAGTGTGCCGTGTGCGCGTTCTTTGACCGGCACAGCCACAGCTGGGCTGGGCGCAATACTTTGACGGGCAGACGTCTGGTTGGTTGACCGGCGGTGAGTGCTGTTCGCAGGCCTGCAGTTTGCCGTGCCGGTGCCGTGTGCGTCTACGCCCGAGCGCAAGACGGCAGGCCTAGCGGTCGTTGCTGGACTCGGAGGCCTTTTTGTTGCCTCACTGCACTCTCCGGCGCCTACGTCCACATAGATGATAGATGCTTCGTGTCGACCATGTTGTCCACCCATACGTTTCAGAATAGAATTTGGAGGCAGGGACGCAGGGTGAAACAAAAAATTAGGCCGATTTCTTTGTTAATAACATGATCTTTCCTGTTCTAATTTATGTTTTTCCTTAGTACTAGCTCCGTACAAAAAGGAGTAATTTTTTCTCTAATTATTAATGAGTTAAACAATTTTAAGTCTGACCAAATTAATAAAAAGTATTGATGTCTATGATACCGAATAAGTATATTGAATTATTATTTTCTTCTTAAGAAACAGGAGGGGTTTGACCCCCTACTGAAATTTGTTATAAAGATTATAAGGTTCCACAATTACATCATTGAATTATTATGGAATATTGTTTCACAGTAAACATACTTGGAGACATAAAATATTGATACTACTTTATACATATTTAGTCAAACTTAAAAAAAATAAGATTTCTTTCAGACTATATTCTTTTATATGCGTTTGAATGGATTAAACCAATGCATTAACTTTGGGTTTCTACATATTGTATCGGTATATTTTTATTGATTTGAAATGGGACGAGTGTACTAGATGTTTAATAACCCTAGCCATCAGAGCGCGACCATCGGCTAGCAACACAAGAGGGGTCGTGGCGGCTGGCCGGTGCCACTATTCCGCAAACGCTCACCAGACTCTAGATAAGCGAACGGACAGCTCCCACCATATTCCACTTCAGGGGAAAAATCCCATCTCTTTCTCCTTTTGGCATGCAAATGCTCAGATTCTGTTCGCGCGCGGATGCCCCGGTCTCAACTGCACAGAGTGCGCCGGTCTCACGCAGATTCTCTTTTGGCTGATGTAAGCCATAAAAAAAGCGAAGCATTTATTTAAAATTGCTATAACTCCTGGTGCATGCGTTTTTAATTCTGTCTGCATCGGTGTGTTTCACGCAATGAGACTCCATTTGCATATGTTTCAAATAATTTTTTTTCCTAGTACCAACTTATATGTACTAACTTATAACATATAACTTATGCCAAAACTTGAAAACACAAAGTTATGAAACACATCTTATGCGTAAAAGTTATTAAACACAAAAGAAACAAATTATCTTATAACTTATGCCAAAACTTAGAAACACAAAAAATATTAAACACAAAAGAACGAATTAACTTATGACTTATACCAAAACTTAAATCACTAAAGTTATGAACCACAACTTATATACAAAAAATTATATACATAAGTTATTCTATACAACTTGTGTACATATGTTATTCTATATAACTTAGATATACAAGTTAATATCATAACATATTGGCAAATATGTTGGTACCTAACATATTAGCAGATGGATAATATTATAACATATCAGTATTAGTAATTTAATTTTAAGCACTCTATGATATACAAAACAATACTAGACACATATAAGTCTATAATATAACAAATTCAACAAGTTCGGTGTTAGAGTACAATCTAAGTTTTAACTTACTTTTAATATGTGAAAAATAATGCTACTAGGACTTTTAAACTCTTTTTAGTAAAAAAATTGAATAAAAGATGGAAAACACTAGAGTTTCTACCTAACATGTGGAAAAAAAATTGCACAACTCAATTGAAAGTCGAAAGCTAAACTATGATGTATGAAGTCACATAAAAGGATGCAACTAGAGTTTATATATCTTAATATTATGTTTCAACTAAGTACATATCATGCTAGAAAAAAGATAAATACTAGAAATTCTAACTAGAGGTCTTTAATGGAGCCTCCATATTAATTCTCATGAGACATGTTAAACCTCACGAGACATGATGGAAAAAGATCCTAGAAATTCTCATAAAATCCGAAACATTTGATCACAATTTGGTATATCCTAATTACTATTGATAATAATAACTATTGGATCTATTCTATAAATAATTACCCATCTCTCGCTATTAAAGCGAACAAGATAAGGAAACACATGACTCTATATTCAAACTACCCACGTATGCTATTAAGAAACATGATCTAAAGTTTATCTAAATTTGTATCTAATTACTCATGTACTCTTATTATGATAGATAACTTATGTAACCCAATCTTTATCTTTTCTTTGAAAAAGTATCCTCTAAAATCTAATTACCAACATCTTTTATAAAAAATGTTAAAATAACATAGAACATGTATATATTTATACATTACCCATTTCTATTAATATTAATACATTAAGATTTGTTCAAAGTAAGCATGCATGTTATGCAAGCATGCATGAGCGATAAATATATATGTTATGTTTCATCAAAAAAATATTTTCTTAACAACTCATATCCAATGATACTACAAATTGTTTAAATATTTGACATGTTTATATTCATAGTATAATCATAATTGCACATGTAACTCCCTTACAGAAAATTCAATCATTGTGAGAAGTATGAGAGGCCACTAATGGCTATATTTTCTCAACCCTTTAAGATTACTTTAGAGTAAAATGTCGATCATTATATAGCTTAAGTATTAAAATTCTCTTGAGGTTATTAGCACTGCTACCTCGATCTAAGATCCCACTTCAAGCTCTATCACTTATCTTAAATGACATGGTACATGTTTCAAATGATTGCTTTTGCTATTGTAGTATTTAAGAACGTACTCTAAGACCAAAAATCATTACTGTTAAAAAGTGAAAAAAGTAGAGTTAATAAAAAATACAGTAATAACAAGAGTTTCAACTTTGATGGCAAAAAAATCTATAGCTGTCAACAAGAATAACATTTAAAAAATTAATTGAGATTCATGACTTCATAAGATATGTGATGCAGCAACAAGGACCGCCATAGTTAAAGGCAAGATTTCAAACTAATTACAAATTTAAAATATAAATAGATGTCATATAACGTAAAAATACAAATATGGATAAAAATCATATGAATTAGTCCCTTGCAAAAAAATAATTAATAAGTTTATGATAATTGGATATAGACTATATGAAATATCTATTATGTCTATTTTGTAGAAATAAACAAAGATAAAAACAATCAATTTAATACAAATAATTTTTTATTAGTCAGATGTACTACTAAACAATATATGTCTCAAAAATTCTAGCGCACGGGCTGATGGACTAGTGATGACAAATATGAAGAAATTGAAATACCCAAGCTAAACAGTCTTGGATGGTTTTTCTGTCGATGGGGAACCCTACGGGCCCCCCATAGACCATACTGTAGGGAGGTAGGCCTTGGTAGCAAGGCCTACAGCCCAATCGTCAAGAAGAACGCGGAGCAAAGCAACGTGCAAAACTGAAACTCCAACGCAAACTATACAAGGAAAGGCGCCTGAAGCATAGCTTAGGACTCTAACCTTGTATCCGAATAGGACACAAACAACGCCTCTTAGTGCCTGGACTATAAAGGGCTGGTGAGGGTACCCATTGTAAGAAGAGAACGCATACCCGATACTCAAAGCAATACAACGCAAACAGGCTAACGCCAAAACTGGACGTAAGGTTATTGCTCGACCAAATCGAGGGCCTGAACCAGTATAAATCGTGAGTCTCTTTGCGTAACCGCCAAATTCCGCTATTCGCCGAAGCCCGAACAACTGTCTCGGGTACCCCCGTGGCAGGCTATCGGTGGTAAAACATCGACAGCTGGCGCGCCAGGTAGGGGCTTTCGACGAATTTTTTCTCGAGAGTTTGGCGGACTTCAACCTCAAGATGACCTTTTCGGTGGGAACAACCTTTGTCTTCAGATCCTGGATCTGCAAGGCTGACGGTGACGGCAAGCTTCGTACCCATCTCCAAGAAGAAAAAGAATTCGATGACGAAGTTCAATAAAAACTCGCCGAGAAGATGAC